TCCTACATATTAAATCACTCTTTTTTAAATGTAAGGACAAAATTAAAAAGTAATTTACTTTTAAGATAATTTTATTATTATTAACTTTTTTTAGTTTTGGTGAATTAGTTAAAAATGACTTATAAAAAGAATTGAGAGAATAAGGATTAAGTTACCCCAAATTAAAATTCAAAGACTAAGGTTGAACTTAATCAAAACTATAAGTAAATTCAAAGACTAAGGTCGAACTTAATCAAAACTATAAGTAAATGATTAATTTTATTTATTTAAATTATTATTTATGTTAAAAATAAAAAATAAAATATCAAATCATCAAAATTTCTCGTTGTGTATTTATTTTATTTTATTGAAAAAATCCCATAAAATCTGTATCGTATGCCTGACAATATCTACTTCTAATCCCAATGACGTATAAGTGAGGAATAAGTGAAAGAGGGGTAGATGGATGCAGCTGTCTTTGATTGAAATGAAAATAACTTCTTCAGCTTTGAGTGGTTGGTAGGCCGCAAACCATAACTCACATGCAGATCACGTGCTTACCTGCTCCTTTATTTTGGAATGCACCTTAGAAGCCATGATTCATCAATCATAGACGTTACCTAATAAGAAATGTATTCTATTTAAGTGCCAAATTGTAACCTCCACTTTCCATCTAGCATTCATATATTACACCTGATCAGAGTCACAGAGAGAGAGAGAGAGAGAGAGAGAGAGAGAGAGAGATTTTGTCTGGTGATCTGTTCATACTATTCTCTCGAGAGACAATGATGAAGAAGGCGTGTGTCATTGGTGGGTCCGGTTTGTAGCCTCCATTCTCATCAAACACTTGCTTCTCAAGGGCTATTCCGTCAATACCACTGTTAGAGATCCAGGTCTCTCTCTCTCTCTCTCTCTATATATATATATATATATATATCATGTAGGCACACACGCACACGCCCTTTATGTCATTTCATGTGTGTAGATGGAATTTGATGTCAATCTAGCTACTGTCAAATTACCATCATGTGGTTTTTATATATCTCCACAGACACAGCTTGATGTGAATATACTGTTTATAGTTTTTAAATAATATGACTGTTTTTTCCTACATATATATAATTTACTAATTTTAGGCCTTCCATATTTTAGTATTATACATTGATATGATTATTCCTCTTTCTTATCTCATCACCACAAAAGTGACCTAAAATATCTGTACAATTTATGGGATTTAATTAATGCTCTTGCTCTCCTCCTCACGTGTTACCATCAGAAATTATTAAGCAGATGAGGGGGAAAAAAAAAAGACACTAGAATAGCCTTCTGTTTTGGGATCACATGAGATATTTCTATAAATGTAACTGTTTTTATTGTAAAAATTTTGGTACAGATCTATTTCTGTGCAGTGAAGAACTCTTGAATGGCCTTTGCTTAAACAAATCCAAGCCTTTCTTCAGAGACAGTAACCAAAGATAGCATAAATTAAGGGTAAAAAAAAAAAACTTGTTTTTGAATCATAGTTCTGAATTGAGTGTTTTGTGCAGGTAATCCTAAAAAGATATCCCACCTAGTGGCACTTAAGAATCTGGGAGAGTTGGAAATATTTGGAGCAGATTTAACAGAAGAGGACAAGTTTGATGCACCTATAGCAGACTGTGATCTGGTCTTCCATGTTGCTACTCCTGTCAACTTTGCTTCTCAAGATCCTGAGGTATAATCATCTACACGCGTGTGCGTGCTCAAACATGTTATTTATGCTCCATCCAATTAAAAATAAAAAAAAACAGAGTTACATTATTTTAATCTTATGTGACTCGGTTTATTTTTACTGGAGAGAGCATAAGTGATGTATTGGACTGGGTGAACCTAAGAATTTCTCCTAGTAGCTAATACATGATTTATGTTTCTGTGAATTCCTATGAAAGAATGACATGATCAAGCCAGCAATCCGAGGAGTTGAGAATGTGTTGAAAGCATGTGCAAGAGCAAAATCAGTAAAAAGAGTGATAATGACTTCTTCAGCAGCTGCTGTAACTATAAACACACTCAATGGGACTGGTTTGGTTATGGATGAAAGCAATTGGACTGATACTGAGTTCTTGACCACAGCAAAGCCACCTACTTGGGTAAGATCAGACCCATTTCACTATTGCCTTCACTGGGAATGAATTATCTGGAGTTGAGAATTTGTGAACTTCATGAAATTTTTTTTTTTTAAAGAAGGGAGAGAAGAATTTATATTTTATAAAAAATTATAAAATATATAAAAATGCTAAAAAGGAAAACATAGAAATTTGTAAATATCAATTTCAGAGAATGTAAGCCTGTCGTCATCAACCTTTTTCTTCAATACCAGTGGATCCTCTGAAGTTGAAGTTGATGAAGTTGAGAATAAGGTACTGGTATTCATATGTACTACTAGTATTTTGCGTTCAACTTTACAAGTTTTCTAGATTCTTCACTTGAGAGGATTTGAATCTTAATATTTTGAGCTTGAAGAAGTTTTTGTTTTCTTGATACTTTATCCAAAGTTTCTTCGATCAAGTAGTTGAAAATTGGATTTATTTTGAAATTAAATGTTCAGGGATATCCTGTGTCCAAAACAGTAGCTGAGAAAGCTGCATGGAAATTTGCTGAAGAAAATAACATTGATCTCATCACTGTGATACCAAGTCTCATGGCTGGTCCTTCTCTCACTCCAGACATCCCAAGCAGTGCCAATCTAGCCATGTCCCTAATTACAGGTCCAAAACTTCATATCATCAACCTGAAAATTAAAGAGCTGTTTACATTAGATGAATTCTAGCTCGGATACACTGGGAAAAAATTATTTTTTAACATGCATATTAAAATAAAACATTGGCAAGACTATTTCAAGCCATACATTTGTTTCAGCTTGAGAGAGATAGACACAGACAGGTGGATTTGACATGCATATTAAAACAGGCCATGTCTTATTGCATATTTTCTTGAAATTTTTTTAGACTTAAAGTTGACTGTTATAAAAGAACAAAATTGCACTGGGTTTGAAAGATTATATGTTTCACGGTTCATAATTTTTTTTTTTAAAATATCCATAGCTTCCTCGTGAATACTTTTGGGACAAAAATGCATTTTTACCCTTTCACATATGTGTTGGTATACTAAGGATAGGTACAAATCAAGTCAACAAGTTAGTCTACGTGCTCCTACTTTTTTTTTTAAAATATGCACAAACATTTTAGGTTCTATTCAAAACTAAATCTGACACAACCCTATGATATGTTGATGACTAAATTGGTCTATTAGTCTCTGATGGATTATGGGCACTGATTGATGTTTAAAACTTGCAGGAAATGAGTTTCTGATAAATGGATTGAAAGGGATGCAAAAGCTGTCAGGTTCAATAAACATCACTCATGTAGAAGATGTTTGCAGAGCACATATATTTTTAGCTGAGAAAGAATCAGCTTCTGGGAGATACAATTGCTGTGTTCATAACACAAGTGTTCCTGAGCTTGCCAACTTCCTTCACAAAAGATACCCTCAGTACAATATTCCAGCTGAGTAAGCTTCTGCTCCCAACATTCAAGTTATTTGTTTCTTTTGTTTTTTTTTTAAATCCTCCTTTTTTTGGAAGTTGTTTATATAGCCATTTGACTAAGTTAGGTTTGAATACTGTGGAGCTCAATTGGAGGTAAATCTCCTCAAACCATTTTCTGCATTTGCATAGATTCGAGCCTAAGACTTTGTATTTAAGCGATTATAGCCCTTTTTAAGACCAACGCATGTAGATTTTTCTCATGAATCTTGGTATAGGATAAAGATTTAAAATGCCCATCATTTATTTAATTTAGAAATAAATGGATGAGCAGCTCAAGTAATGGGATTTTAAAATTTATTTATTTTCATTAATAGTTAAATGTTAATTCTTGTCATTGAAAAGTTGCAATTTTCAAGTGTTTTTGAGATAGAGAAGAAGAAATGATTTTTTTTTTTAATTTTAAATATCAACCATACACTAAAGTTGAAATCATAATTTTACTCAGTTCTTAGGATCTGAGCAGAAGTCAGACCACATCAATAAATTAGTTGTCTACCTGCCAATTCAAATTAAAAATAGGACCATTCATTCATTTACAAGATTGCACATGGTACACACATGTTTTCTTGGACCACTTGTATCATATTCAGATGACTATTTCCTTTTAATTTTTATTTTATTTTAAAGTATAATACAGAATAATTGTTTTTAACTACCGATTTTTTTTTTAAAAAAAATTCGATTTAAATAAAAAAAATTAAATTTTAGGCCCCATATTAAATTTAAATTATTTGAAAGGAATATGCACTACAAGTCTTTTCCCCGAATGTAGAAGATCTATGCTCTCTGAATGAGTCACCCAACTTGATCCTGAGAAATTATTTGGTTTTACTTTTAAATGCGTTCAAAGAAAATCTCATAATATTCTTGTGTTTTAAGTCCATCATGACACCGTTCAACTGCTCTTTCTCTCTGTTTTTTCTTAAAAACATTCTTCAACATTTGTATTTATGAACTTTCTTTTTCTTTTGCACATGTAGATTTGCTGATTGCCCCTCCAAGCCCAAGTTAGTGTTCTCTTCGGAGAAGCTCATCAAAGAAGGGTTTGAATTCACGTTTGGGATTGAAGAAATCTATGACCAGACTGTGGAATATTTCAAGACTAAGGGGGTTCTGAAGAATTGAATGCTGACATATTTGAAGTTAATCTTGCAGAATCTCAGCTTATCATGTAATAACAATCTGGTTTGTGAAGTTCAATATGATATATGCATTGAGCTATTAATTTCAGGTTGAAGTAATTAAGTTCATCTCCTATTGTAACTTTTGATATAATCTAAGTTAAAAAGCAGAGCTCTAGATAGGAATATGCCATTTAAAAAGCATTTTCATTTCTAAGCTTTAATTTCTTATCCAAAATGCAATTGAATCAAAATGATCAAACTTCACAAAAATAAAAAATTCCTACAAAATCACACACACACACACACAAAATAACCCCCTTCACTCCACTCCACTTGATTCGTTCTCCAACAAATGTAAAAAATGAAGCAAAACAGATTTTGGTTCAGGGACAGCTAAACAAAACCAGTATAATTATGTTGTAACTATTCTATTACTGTCAAGAATCAAAGCTTACCCAAAGCTTTTCCTCCAAACAACTTAAATAAAAGAAGAAAAAACTATACATGAGCAAAAATTATCAAATCTGGTAATCCCAATCCAAACTTTACCCGTGGTTTAGATGGGGAGACAAGAAGAAAAGAATACTATGAGGGAAAATGGCCTTGGCAGTTTTCTCTCCCTTCTATTTTCCTCCCAACTTTCCTTCCATCCAAACCAAGAAAGTAGCTCTCCTGCATTTGTGCAGTAAAACCATTTAAAGAGAGACTGACACAACAAAATATGAGTGTGAATGATTCCTGAACGGCTGAACCCGAGGTTATATGCCCGTTATCTCTTTACTTCCTATGATACATTCACTAAAGTAAATGTAGAGAATCTAAGTCCTTATAATAATCCAAGATAACACTAGATATCTACATATAATAAGAAAAAAAGGGTATACAAAACAAATATTTACAGATATCCAAAATCACACCACATACCATCATCGGCTATGCAATCTGTGCAACAAGATTGAGCGCTCTGTGGATGAAAATTCCTGGATTTTTAGACGTTCCACTTCAATGGAAACTTCATTTACTGCAGCAGGAGACTGTGTATTATCATCTCTACAATAATGCTGCTTCTTATAGAGCTGAGATAATGATCCAGCAATGTCCCTCATGGAAGGTCGGTCTCTGGATGCTTCACTGACACATTTCAAAGCAAGACAAGCCATATCATTAAGCCTAGGCACATCATATTTTCCATTAAGCTGTGAATCCACAATTTCTTCCCATCCAACCTTACTCTCGGCTTCCATGGCTGCCTAATTAATCATCAAGAAGAGATCTTATGGCAATACTGCTACAATATTTACCAGTTATAGATGTGTACAAGATAAAAATCTTGCGACTTTCAATGCAGTTCAAACTTCGAAGGCACAGAGCTTAAGCTATTGTCAGTACCTTCTACATCAAATGCTTATCTAATTAGAACAATTAACATCTACATATCAATATATAAGATAAAATCTATAGTAAGTCGGGCTATTTATAATTTATGGATGGTACAACTCATTTGTCAAACTTTGTACACGAAAAAAAATGTGTTTTTTGTAGCATAGTATTGCCTGGTTGACTATTTTAAGATTTTTCATGTGTTAATGACAGCAAACAACTAAAAACTGTATCTATGTCTTTTACCCCCAAAATATCATACATGCATAAGCACATTGACATGAACTCACAACCAACGTAGTGCTAGCACTCACTAGTTTCACATATTCCATCATGCCCTGCTGTGGATTCCTGCCAGTAATCAATTCAAAGAGTAGCACACCAAAACTATAAACATCACTTTTCTTGGTAAAAGTTTTTGTTGACACGTATTCAGGATCAAGATAGCCAAAAGTTCCTTTGACATTAGATGAACGGGTTTTAATCATCTCTGGTCTCGAAAGCCCAAAGTCAGTTACCTGCTAAGCAAATAATACATGTTGAGGTGTTGTATTAAAAGAAAAAATTTGAAGCATTATTTTCATAGAAACAAGGATCATGCCTTGGCTCTCATAAACTGGTCCAGCAGTGTGTTGGAAGATTTAATGTCACGGTGCACAACAGGTGGAGAAGCCTGAAATACGAAGTTCATTGAATAAGAAACCAAAATTAAACCGATTACACACAAAAATGATTTGTACAAACTCCAACTATAAGAAACAAGCATATTATATACCCCATAATGCAGATATTCAAGTGCCCTTGCAACATCTAGTGCTATCCGAAGTCTTGCATCCCAATCTAATGCCTCCTGATTTTTGCCTAAACCTTCAACACATAAAACAGTTATAAAGAGTTCAAACAAATCTTAAGTAACTGATTCATGGGGAATAAGGAGTTATGGAGATATTTTTTTTCAGCTCTTAGAAGCAAAACTGAAATTTGTAATTCCAAGTGAAAAAGCTTCTTTGAATAGGCAATAAATGGTCAAGTGACAGTAGGTTTAAGTTATTGAAAATCAGGCCAACATATAACCATCCAGTCTTTTCTTTTTATTTTTTTCTTTTTGGTTACATATAACCACCCAGTCTAATTACATCTTGTAGTGGTTTTCAATTTATTAGTGAAAAGCATATAGTGGTTTGAGGCCACAAATTGATTCATGAACGGCAAGAGGAGACCACAACGTCTAACACGACTCTGTTCCTTCAGAAATGTACAAATATACTCTGCTAAGATAGTCTATTTTCACAAAAATCACAAACCAATTTAACTTTTTTCAAACAATTGTTATATAAATTGAAAAAATTGTACATGCTTTTTTAAATTCAAATTACTTTGGGTTAACCAGATTTCTGTGGAGACCAAAGGAAGAAACCAATATACTCTCTAAAGAATAATACCTATTCAGAAAATATTGAAAAGAATTCTGCTAAAGAGTTGCTCTCATTCTAACCATATAAGTGAGAGGCGAGGTTGCCATTGCTCATATAAGCATAAAGGAGCATATGCTGTCCTCTTTCTGCAGTATACCCCACCAAATCCACCAGGTGTTTGTGATGTAACCTTCCAAGTAACAAGACCTGTTAACAGGAAAGGAAAGTGTAAGACAGGCTTTTGTCCTTAATTTTAAAAGAAATAGCACCGCTTTATCACAAATGTCATTAGCTTTTAGTGAGTTGGTTTAACTAAGTAGTGATTTTCTGGGCTATAGGAGCGAGGTGTAGTAGGACTCATATATTAGGAAGTAGTAGTTTTATACTAGGAAGAAGTAATGCACAGGATGGAAGTTAACAACATTCAATACACAATATGAGAATAAATAATCAGATTTATCCTCCTTTATCTTCACCCTGTTTCTGAATAGTCTATTGTTTTCACTTGCGACATTTTTGAATCATAACTTTCCAAATTCATCTCCCTTTAACTCTTAAATCCTTGTTTAAAATATAGGCGTGAGAAAAAGTTTGAGTACATGTTACTGCAAATGAAAAGGGTAGCAAAGCAGAATACCAAGATTGCAATAGAAATAAAGAACAAGAACTGATTGTATACAAAAACAAAAGCCTGCACAAGTGTGTGTATGCACAAATATCCTGAAAACTTTTCAATTCCAATATGAAGATTCCTTTTAGATTAAATGATGCGTTTCCTCCCACCATATCAATTATGAAGTGCAGTTTCTAGGAAAGATAACAGGGAAAGGACCGATCAACTGATATTCTGAGGTATATACAAGGCCAACAAAAGAACAATTGGTTAAAGTTCTCATTTAAATCAACAAGGGCAAACAAGGAGATATATCAACCGCACAGTTTTTCAAGTTAAGTTAATTCCTGACGTAATGTTTAGTTCTTCTCCAACACATTTCCTGTGGGCAAAGAGCCAATCGTATTAACCTTGTAAAGGATCCCCATCTGAAGCCTACTCACATATTTAATTACCATTGCCATTCAAAGAGGCATTTCACCATTCCATACATCAGCACTCTTGTGGACTAAAAAAGTATTAAAACTGTAAGCACAAAATCAAAATTACCTCAGTCAAAAACTCCTTCTCTCCATGTCTTGAATTATTACCAAGAACTTTAACAGCAACTGTTTCACCAGTGAGCATCTGAGCTTTGTAAACGGAACCAAATGCTCCACGACCTATGATGGTTGTGAAATTAGAAGTTGCCTTCTGCATGTATCTGGACATGAAATCACAAGATCACGATGCAAAAAAAGAAATATATAATATTGACAAGCATGGGAGATGATATCTAGGGACAAAACCATTGAGTCAACAATAAGTGAAAAGGGCTGGTACACCCAATTTAGGACCAAAAACAAAAAACATCATAAACTTAGAATACTTGAGGTGAAAATGAATGCTAATTAAACTTTGCTGCAACCTAGTAAGTTTAACAATTCAATCTTTTTTGGGGCTACTTCTCCTATTATTCATCTTTCATAATAAGTTCTGCATTAGAGAAACTGCGTAACTTTTCTTTCCAATTTCACTGTCTATAATTTCTGAACAATGTCATTTCTTTTTGTCGACTGAAGCTAACTCTGCATTTAGGTCAGCAACTTTTTGCCAACTGTCATTTCTTTTCTTTCTTGCTTTATTACACATCAACCATAATATTCTCAAACAATTATTCTCATAATAGTACTCATTTGCAAAATTCTTTTTTCCGTTTCATCTGTATGTGTTATGATTTTTATGGTAGAGTTCAGGAACCTAGGGTTCTGCTAAAACAGGAAACCGTTATGAGGTTCTTTTCTACTTTTCAAGGAAATTAATATATGACATATCCATGTCATTAAGAGCTGCACTTAACAAAAAACTGAGGTTGGCATGAACTGCACCATAGCAAGCTTGATTCAAACTATGCAACTTCAGGCAAAATACAAGCATTATTAAAGAATAAGTGTAACTACGAAGAGGAACACACCCTTCTAAATATAAGACCATGTAAGAGAGGAAGAGGAAGAGAAGGGAGCATCACCAAAAAAATCAAGTTCAAGACATTAACTGAACCAAAAGTATATAGCCATTGTAGATGGGCAACCAACAAGTATTAACAAACAAATAACTTAGCGTGTGTTTGATTTTCAGTTTACATCTAACAAGTGCACATTTAAGGGATCTAACTATTTGTTAGATTTGGCAAAAGCACATCCCAAATGTAGTTTGAATATGCTTTTGGCAATTGGCAGTTACCCAAATGGGCCCTTAATAGGCCAACAATCATAATCCCAATAAGAAATAGAGGTTCTACTTTAGTAAAGACAGTGACCATTTAAAAACTGTAATCAAACAACTAATAATACTCCACTTAAAACAAATTAGTAATCCATACAATAATGACATAATAGCATACCCTATATTCATTTTCCACACCCCATTTTCATTATCCATAATCCATCACCATCTCCTACAACAACAAAACAGAGCAAGACAATTGCATAACCTCTGTAAATCTGAAAGAGCCAAAGCATCCATGTCATCCTCTTTAAGTCCTTCCAAATTTTTGTACACAAATAGCCTATTCCCTCCATATTGCAGTTACTTTTAAATTAACCCGTAAGTCCCCTATGACTCGGCTTTTGAGCTTATTTCTAATGGGCAATTGAGTAGAAAATAACCCTGAAGGAACAACAGCAAACCATGCATTGAGTTGTAACTATAATATTGATGGGTACTCAACTGGTATGAAGAACCTTCCCTCAAAAGCTAATCATTAAGATGGGATAGAAACTCACACATGTTGGAGATTTAGGCATCCCACACTACCTGAATCTTGGCCTCCTTGTATTGCTGAGTGCTAATATTCTACCTGCTGCATTTTGTGACAATAATACTTTAGTAAGTGGCCCTTTTTGACCCCTTCAACCAGCTAGGGTTTAGTACCAATTGATGGATACTTAAGTGAGATGGGGCATCCTCCCTAAAAAAGCTAGCCATTGATATGGGAGAACAAACTTACTTAAATGCCCCATTGAACATCCTACACTACTCAATTTGGAAATCAGGAATCCCATACTACCTAATTTGCCATCATATACTAAGAAGAATAAAAAGAGGATGCATCCATGTAGCCTTGAGAAAGGAATATAGCCCTTGACATAGAGACAGATGAACTGGGGGGAGGGGGGCTAAAATGCAGGAAAAAAATTGTGCAAAAGTTGCTTAAAAATCTAAATAAAATGTTGATTCCCTGCATTGTTTCACTCTTTTTTGCATTGCAAGTTGTCCTTCACAACCTAACTTTTGAGCTTACATGCAGTGGACCAGAAGGCAATTTTCCAAGAGTAGCAAGAAATACATGAAGCCAGATGAACAGGAAAAAATTAAAATAATTCATTTGAAAGTTGCTGGACAACTCTTAATTTCTTAATCATACAGAATGTTCAGTAAATTTCCAAATGAAGAGATATCATTTATTTATCAAATTGAAATCATAATTCGTATGTTCAAACTTTAAAAAACTAGATAACTTTATAAGGAAGGGAATTTTCATCCCTTTAGAAGCTTGTCAGCGGTTGCTGGAGCTCTGTATAAAACCTCCTTCCAGAATTCATAAACACTGCCATTTTCAGAATTTTATGGCATTTAATCATCTTGTGTCCTTAACCTTGATTAATCCTTCTGAAGCTAAAATATAAGAGACATGTAGATAAAAATTATGAAACACGAAGAAAAATATTCTATTTCAAAAATTAGTTGGAGGCAATCACACAGCAGGAACAAAAAGCAATTAAAAATATGCTAAAATAAAAGCACAACAAGTACTTTTACGAGTTCAAACTTCTATAGCATACCAACATTTACCAAAAATTCTCCTCTTCCCCTCCTCAATCTCCTGTTTTTCCTAACTTACCTATAACGGACTTAGAAGGAAAACATATTTGAGGGTATGCTGACAAAAGAATACCTTAGTTGGAGAAAAATAAAGTCAACAGCGGATGAAAAAATTAGCAATAAATGTTAATATTAGCATGTTCATTATCTTAAATTTCATGAACATGAGCGACAGAAAGCAAATAACATTATGCACTTAGTAGAAGAATGTCTAGACAGCATCAAATATGCAGCATACAAGGGGAAAAAAAACACTAAAACAACATACCTGTAAGAATATTTTGGAATTCCGCATGCAGAACCAACATCCTTCCTCTTAAGTCCTTCCAACCAAAGAGGCATGTCACTCCAGTCAGATGATACGGCTGACTCCAGCTCCACATTTGAGCTTGACAATGATCTGCCATGATCAACTACCTTGACACGAACAGGAATGTTTCCTGCTTGCTGGGAGCTTCTCTTTGCCCGTGTATGCTTATTTTGGCACCAGAAGCAGCACACAAATGAAATTGCCACACCCACTCCAAAGACAAAGCCTACACAAGTCCCTACTATTAAGGCCAAGAGACTCCTGTTCATCTCATGCAAACTGAGACTTTATCATAGACATTTCAGCATTTTCCCATGTACCTGATAATGCACAAACTATGTTTTCATTAAAAGAGTTTTTTTTTTTTTTTTAAGGAATGGATAGTAAGGTACATTTCCTATACCATAGCATTGTTTTAACAGCAATATCTGACTAACTTGAAAGTCAAGCAATCACCATACATCAGGGGAGTGAAGAACAGAATTCTTACAAATAACAGATACAGACACAATCACTACCCAACGCAAAATAAACACATATAACGAAAGTTGCTTGATAATCACCCTGCATAAACTCTACTATAGGTGCAAATTGAGCTCAGAATACAATAATTTAAGCTCTTCCACCTAAACAATTAAACAAGGAGAAAAAAAAGAAAATTTTAAGAAAAAAGGGAATCAAACAATTTCATCATTCAAGAGAAAATAATTTTCCACGGGACCCTTCAGTCACATTACGACCATCAGAATGGAAAAAGAAAAAAACCACAAGCATCTTGTATCGAGAATCACAACTAGAATGCTATAATCAAGAAGGTCGATAGCACTAGACTGCACATTCTCTGCATTGAAACTGCAAAGAAAAATCAACAGAAGCAGAACCAACCTCATTACATCCAGAAAAATTGTAAACCATTTCAAAAGATACAAAGAGAAAGAGAAAGAGTACCCATATAGGAACGAGAAGGCAAATCGAGAGAGCCATGAATTAGAGGGAGGAAGAAGGAAGAGCATGGCGTCGTTGGCGTAGAACCGCACGGACAAACAAAGCATGGGCCTTAACGCATGCAATGATGCAAAGTGGGTCGTCTCATTTCAAAGCCGCTCAGCAGCCGAGCCGTTTCGATTTTTTTGTCTTTTGGGAATAAATGCGAAACTGTATTAATCAAATCTCAAAAGTGAATAAGGTGTCCCGCTTACTGCTAATGATGTACCTCCTCTCATCATACATCATCTTCATGACTTTGTATAAAGAAAGAGCCCCTGATAAAACTTTAAAAATTGAGAATGACAAGTAGCTCCCAAAATATTAAATTAATGATACTATCTAACAAAATATTTTAAAAAGTAAGTTAAAAATATTGATATAAATAATTATAAATTTAAAAATTTTAATTATAAATAAGTATCTAAGTATCAAATGGAAACATGAATTTTTATTATAACTGTTTAAATTAATATTTATAATTTTTTTTTAAAAAAAATTGTCAGAATCTAAATCTCATTAATTCAACTTTTGGAACTTAACTATCATTTTCCTGCACAAAAATAAATCGTTGAGTCTATAAAAAATGATTAGTATTTTTGAAGGTGACAATCAATGTTCAAATTTTCATGAGGAGAAATGTCAATATATAGTGTCCAACAGTGCTTAGGACAAGATTGCTTATAATAGGAGAATACTTATAAGGCTATAAGTACAAAAAAAAATACTCTTCTATTAAAAAATATAAGATATTTTTAATCGAATCTCATTTTTCAATAAAGTAATTACCTACTTTCAAACTAACTTATCTTTTCATATTTATTTCTATTAAACACTTTACAATAAATATAAAGTTATTATTAACAGAGATACTTTTAAAAAAAAGATAATAATTTTACCTTAAAAGACTAAAAATATATTATATTTTTTAATAAAGGGTGCAAAAATCATGTCTAATCCTAGATAAAATTGAGCTGCTAAATGTGAACGTTTGTTTGTTTCTTGCATAAAGGCAATGGAGTGAATAGAAAAATTCTTACATGAACCAAATGTACATTCATGTCTTGTCCAATAAAAACATATTATAGCATATGTTCTAAATATAAATTAATTCTCTCATTAATGATGATAGATTAAAAAAAGACAAAAAATTAAGGAGGCACCATTTTTCAAAAATAAAGTCATTAAATATAATAATACATAAGATTCTATTTAATTCAACTAGTGTGACATGATATTTTTATTATATAAAGTATGAATAACACAATGCAACAGTTTTGTACAAAAGAATTTTTAAAATATCATCGTTGTAACCATTTTTTTTCAGATTTGATTAATATAGTTTTGCATTTATTTATACAAGATCAAATGACATCTGAAGTTTTACTATTTTCATGTTTATTTTTATTTAATAAAATGTCTCAATTAAAAAAACCTTATTAATTATAATTTTAATTAAAGGGATAGTTAGAAAAACCTCATACCTTAAAATATCTAAAATATCTTATATTTTTAATATCTCATTCTTAAAATATATTTTATATTTTTTTAAAAAAAAATAATATTTTTTAAAAGTTAAAGGATGAACTCGTAATAAAGAATTCATAGCATAAAATGTTTTATTAATAAAATAAAAAAACCTTTTTTTTTTCCCCTTTATAAGCTTGGACCATGACGTAAGGTATGGGCTGCATAAAGTTAATTTTTTTTAATTTTAATAAAACATGTTGAAAATAATTATAAATAGGACCGAATGACTTACAAGAACAAATTCTCCGTGATCGGTGCAAATTTCGCAGGTGCGAGCGTCAAGATAATAATGTGAATGCGTGATAATCTCGACTTCTTTGTTGAAGTGGCAAGATGCTATTGGTAATTGGTATAGTTGGCAAACATAATAAAACCAAAAAAAAAAAAAAGCAGAGAAAATTGAAGTGTCTTAATTGGCAGAGAACCAAGTCTCGTTGCCCCACGCCCCCACCGTACCCTGCGCACCGTGAGTTCGCAGACATAGTCGAAGCCAAAAGCGAAAGAGACTTCTCTGCGCCTCTATTCTTGTGTTCGTCTCTCATTGCGCGATCCCTTGTACTCGCGGGGGTGTTCCTCTCCACTCCTCGCCCTCTCTGCGCTCCGCGTCTTGGAAAGATACAACGAGAAGAAAAGAGCGATTAGTTGACGAATTAGGCTCCGGATTGTTGTTTTTGAGAGGCGGTGGGCAAGAGGGAGGGGGAGAGAATGTCGAAGAAGAAGGTTAGTGGCAATACCATGACCCTCAAGGACTTTCATGGAGGTTCGATTCCCACTGATCTCTCTCTCCCTTCTGCGCCTGGCGTGTAAGTGCCTTTTATTGCATTTTCCGTTTGTTTGATCTTATTTGATTTAAATTCACAATTTTTTTTGGTCTACGGGATTATCCATAAATGGGTTATATCAACTATCTCAACTGATGCTCTTGTAGTAAATGCTTGGATTATTATGGTATTTGAGGGAAATTTGATCTGTTCGTTGTGATTGTTTGTTCTTTATCTATACTTTGGGTTAATAATTTTCTATCAATTTACGAACTTGAATGTGTGAAATCCTCTTGACTTTTGACCTAATTTGACAGAACCGGCAGAACTTCAGATCGTTCTGTGTATGACCGACCTTCATCATGGGGAAATCCAATGGGTCGGTCTGATCATCGGTCTCGCCCACAAACGTCCCCAGCTACTATGCATTACGATGATAAAACCCCGTTTCTTACCCACCCAGCTCAAATTGGACGGAATTTTGATGAAGATGAGCGTAAGCCACTGGATGGCATCTCAGCCCCCCGGAAAACAGTCAGTGATGATAGTGTTCGGGTCCCACCTTCTCGTGTTGAAATGAAGCCTGATTATGGAGTGGGAAGAAGTTCCATGAGTCGGCATGTGGCTCCAGTGTCTCAAAATTCTGTTGGCACTGTGAATTCCTACTCTGCTAGGCTTACTGAGGCAATTCATGTGGGAGGGAGTTCTCAACATTTAGGTGGAGTTAGTCAGGAGCAGGGAACTGCTGGGGTTTATCCAAATGTATGGGCAATGAGGAAGGAGATGGCAAGTGCTGTTGAGCCACAGCGTTCTGCTTGGTCCAGTCCTAATGCAGTTTCCAAGTTGGCTCATGCAAGTGCTATAGAGAAGGTGTCTTCTGGTAGATGGCAGTCAAAGACTGTCCCTACCAGACAGATGTTGAGGTGGTTAAATCATTTGAAGTAGAGAGTGTGGCATATGACAATGTTACTGGAAATAATGCCTTCAATAGGATGGATACTGTGGGTGAAAAGGTTTATCATGATGCAATATTAGCAAGACAGGCTGAAAGAGTCTAGTCATTAGTGATCAGATGCAAGGTGGTAGAAATGAGTTTCTGGATTATGAAAGGTCTGGGGCTTCCCAGTATTCAGAAGAACGACCAAGAAGTATAGCTCATCACATTGATGGTGTTCAGCAGGATGGCAAACTTGGTGGATCCGAGTTTCAACACCCAATGCCTTTTGAACCAATAGAACGACCTAAATTGAAGTTGCTACCACGGAGTAGGACAAAACCATTGGATAATACGGAATCCCCTGTTTATGATTATGTTCAGGTATCACACGGTTAGCTTGGAGACTTTATTTTTCTGCAGAATGAATTTGACATGATGATTTCTTTGTTTTCTCCATTGAAGGGATCTAGTCGATTGAGTGATGCTGGTCATGTTGAAACTGTTCATGAGGTGCATAGTCATGCCAATCTTGTGAAGCCTGTCTTAGCTTCGACTGAGATTGTGAAGGAGGGAGGACGGCGCCCAAAGCTGAATTTGAAGCCTCGGTCCCAGCGACTTGATCAATTGGAAGGAAATGTTGATAGAGAAAGGTAAAGGTTAACGGTGTGGTTGGTTGGGAAATTTTTAAGGGAAAATCACAGTGAGGTCCCATAGAGAGATTCTAATAATCAAGAAGTCCCACGAAATGTTAAAATAATTCTCAATTCCCATGGGCTTTGATGTACTTAAATTTTGATATGCATTTACTAAGATAACCTTATTTAAAAAATATGATCAGTTGCCATTAAATAAGGGTTTTTCTAACCACACCACAGACACCAGATATTTTCCTTTCACCACCGTGAATCCTGTGCTGCCCGAGACCCGCATGAGTCATTTTCATTTCCATCCTCTCCGCCATCGCTGGAGATTATCCTTCCATAATCATCGCAAGAGGAACCTTTACCAGCACTAGTATTCGTTCCCCTGCCATAATGCTCCTCTTTTCAAGAACTGACTTCTGTTTTAGTGTTTTCTTTTTCTTTCTTTATCATTAATCCTTCTTTGATCCTTGGTGAAAGTCGCCACTCATGGTATTAAGGTCAAGAACTCTCCCTCTTACTGGTTAGTCACATACATCACCACTTGTCTCTGATTTATAGGGAACCCATCAACAGCTGGATCAAGATAAGGAGGGGTGAAGTTCTCGACTCTGGTCTTCTTTGGGTATTTATCACCATTCTTGTCAATGTTGACTGTTGCTTCCACTAACCCAGATTTTGCCATTAGGAAGCACAGTTGAAGTTTGAGTGATACATTCTAGCAATGGAGGTACCTGCCATAACCTTAAATCTATCACCCCCAGGCTTTGTGGGCTGTAAAACATCGGCACTAAATTGGGTGTGTTGGCATCCAACCATACCATTCTAAGCACCATTGATGAACAAGAGATGTCCATTGTATAGATTCAAGAGGCTGCCCATGGTTTTGGAAGGCATCATTTCAGAGTCCCACATGGGTTCACAATCAGTGAATTCTTTGTTTTAAATAAGGTTATTTTAATTAATGCATGTCAAAATTTATTTACCATCAAAGCCCATGGGACTTGAGAATTATTTTAATATTTTGCGAGACTTCTTGGTAATTAGAATCCTTCTATGGGACCTTAGTATAATTTTCCCAATTTTTAAGCATGCTATATGACTATTTCTTTGCATGTGTGTGAGCGACCTGCCTTGTTGTGTTGTCTGTGAAACATGTCCAGTGGGCTCAGGGACCATGATTTGGTCATGTTCCTTCTTTTAATTGCAGAAAGATCTGCTTTGGATTTGAAGATATAAGGATGTGCTTTTTCAAATAGCAAGATGTTCATAATTTGTTAAGAGAATTAAATAACATTGGATTAATTAATGTGAAAATACAAGTATTTGTCTAATATGGTTAGTGCTTTAGGCACGTTGTTGGCCAAAGTAAAAGGCGCAATTTTAGCTTGTACTCTTTAATTATTCTAAGAAGTTCTTTTGAACATTAGTGTTTGGTCATTTGATCCTTTAATTGCTTTGAAACTTCAACAAGCTTAGGGACTTGAATTGCTTTTGGCGGAAGAAGAGTGCTTAATGGTAATGGTGTAAGAGGGTGCTTGTAGAGCATTTTCTTTTCTCATGATTTTGCAAATAGTATGAATAACTAAATTCTTGATGCAACCTGTTGAGCTCCCCTCTTTCTTTTTCTTCATTATACAAACAGGGAGTTTTAATTCTTAGTCTGATGCAAAGCTTACAGATGATTATTTGAATGGATTCTAACATGGCATAATTAAAATCGAAAGCATTATACTCTCTTTGTTTTTATTTACTCTGCATTTCAATCAACACTTAATCAAGATAATGTATATGAATTGTACACGATACTTTAAAACATTATATTAAACAACAGAAGACCGAAAATTTATGTTTGACCCAAAAATTTCTTAAAACACTTCCAGTTTAAAATAATGTCGTGCCTGACCCGCCAATTTTGATGGGCTTACTCCTTTTGCTCAAAATCAAGCACATAAGGTTGTGAAGAAATGATCATGCTGAACTTACTAGTATCCTAGATTCTCATCTTGTTTGTGTTTATTTAGTAATTTCACATGATTTGTTGTCTTATGTTGCTACCTTTTGCATTGTCAGGCTCATGAATATGAAATAGTATGAACTACTTTCAGCAAGTTTATCAAGTATATTTAATGGGAAAACAGAACTTTTGGTACTCAAACTTTCACCCAATATACAGTTGGTCCCCATGTTTTAATTGGTATTAAAGTATTAAACATACGAACCAAATTGCAAATTGGTTGAAAGTTTGTGGACAAAAAGTTGTGTTTTCCCTATATTTAATTTATTATTGCTTTTTGTCTAATAATGAAACTGTTGCAAATAATTCAGGAATGCTTTATTTGGTGGTGCTCGTCCTCGAGAACTGGTAAGTTTCAGTTTTTTATTTTTAAAATTTTTATGTCAAGAGGATTTTGAACCATGTCACTGCCACCTATACACCATCTCACTCTTATTACTTAAACTAGTCTCAACTCTCTACTCAACTGACCAATTTTTTTAATATTCTGAATGCTAGTTAAAAAGTTTTCATTATTTTTATTTAATTGTTTTTGGACAGATAAGATAGTTTGAATCTGGATCTTCTGAACTACTTTACATGGCAAGTAGAGAAAGATAGAAACAAAACGATAGATCCCACTCTTGCACGTATGTACGCAGTCAAGTGGAACCCATTCTTTTCTTTCTATCTCCCTCTACTTCACCTCATGAAGTACTTTATTGCTTGCTTCTTCAAGTTGCAATTTTTTTTTTTCTTAACTGAGATTCTTTCTACTGTCATTTAAATTTTTGCTGCTTTGCTAATGTTAGTGACAGGTGACGTTTCTTTCTTTCTTTCCTTTTTTGTTTTTTATTTTATTTGCCCCCTTCTCTCTATGCTTGGCCCTGGCTTCATATTTTCATCTTGATTATGTCTATAACTCGTTTCCCAGGTTCTGATGGAGCGAGGGATTGATAATGTTGCAATTAAGGAATATGATGTGGCTGAACACTCAAATAGGTAGTTTCCTGTTTTGTGTCTTGTTATAATTCATCTGTCTCCCTGACTCATGCTCAAGTTTTTCTTTTTGTAGGGTTGAATATAACATTGGGAAGGCTGAGAGTGTTCCGGATCGGTCAACCCATGTTGAAAAAACTCAGAATACTCTTCATGATCAAAGGGCCATAAAAAGGCCTGAAAAGAAGGAGCAAAGGGTAGAAGCTGAGAGGGGCAATGGGCAGAGGAGGAATTGGCGTGGTGATCATCGAAGGAATGTGAGAGAGACTGAAAGGCAGCAGGTCTCCGAGAGACAACCTTCACCTGAGACATGGCGTAAGCCTGTTGAGGGGCCAAAATCATCTTCTGACATTGTTGGTATGCGCCAAAATAAAGCAGCTTCAGCAGTTGAACTTGCCCAAGCATTCTCCAGATCCATCTCTGATCCGAAGGCGAATGATCGGTTTTCAGGTCAAAAGGGTCTGAACACTGGCCACACACAGATCCCATTTTCACGGCTCGTTGGCCCTTCCCCAAGAGCTCAGATCAATGGTTATTGACTTTTCCCATTGGTCTGGAGAAAAATTGGGACATCTTGATCAGAGATCCATTTCCTGGAGACATAGCAGTTGTTACATGCAAGTGGTGAAATTGCTGAGTTCTGTGGTTTTTATTTTCTCATCTGCAGAAATGAGTGAGAAAATTGAATTGTTTGCTAGTTAGTAAACGCCATACATGACATTGCCAATTTTACGATTATCATTTAACTTTGTTTCGTCTTTTTTCTTGCCCTTCATTATATGCTCCCAATCCCAAACAACTGTACTTCATCATTATGAAGGAGGTGATGAAAAGGCTTTTTGCCTAAATTATTTTAGTATTTAAGGCCTTCTAGGTTCCAGCATCATCTTTAGCAGGAATGAGATTTTTAATTGATCATTTCTAGTTTCTTCACCTTGAGTATGTGGATAGTTTGTGCTCTTTGGTTAAGGATTTCAAAAGTCAAAAGGAAGTTTTTGACTATAGTCCTTTTATTGCCAATCTGATCCTCTACACTGATGAAGTAATCGTATATAGTATAGTATATTTTTTTTTTGAAGGACATTGTATATAGTATAATTGTATATGGTACAATTTGGGAAGAAATAGAACAAAAGCTATCAAGGTTTAAGAGCGCTGACTTTATATGTAGTCATGTTTTTAATGTCTTTTTTTTTTTTTAATGTATGCATATGTGATTGTAGTAGATTGGAATTATTTTTATTCGCTTCAGTGTTAATGTTAAGTATAAACAATAATTATTAATTTGTGGGAAGCTGCACTAGGAACATACAATGTGGGCGTATTAGGTTGATTTTGAGATAACTTATCCCATTCGCCGACAAGCAAGTACCTTGGTTTCTCTCAAAGAGATTAAGCTTATCATATTTAAATGTGATAATTTAAATAAGTTCTCATTTTGTTATTGTACGGTCAAAAATGTTAAGCTTATCATGTTTAAAGACTATAATCAAGGTAAGGCTTCACTTGCTAAATGCGCTGACCCATGGTCACGTTAGGATATCAATATTTAAACACTAAAGATTGATCTCTTGATTATATTGAACCAGGGCTAAGTTAGGATAACAATATCTAAATGCTAAAGATTAAATTCATAGAACTTAATCGCTAATGGGTCATAATTAGATTCTTTTTGATACATAAGTTTCTCTTTAAAAAAAGACAAATGTAAAGCATAATTAAATCTTGTTTAATAAAAAGAAAATATCAGCAACACGAGCATTCATGAGAATAGAAAAAAGTTAAAAAGAACTCACAGAAAATATATTGAAATTTCACAAGAGAAAATATGTTATAAGCTTGTTCTTTGAATGTTGAAGTAAAGGAGAATTTACAGACCTCTTCTCATGAGTTCATCTACAAGTGGTAGCTACAAGTAGGGGCAAAGCCAAAATTTTTTAAAAAGAATTATATTAAGGTCCCACAAAAAAATTAATTATTAATAGTTGTAATTCAGTTGTTAATAAATTTTATAGTAATTAATTTTTTTGTATGGGATTTTAATAAAATTTTCCCAAAATTTTATTTGGGGGCCGGGATAACAAAACATGCTCATTTTATTAAAAAAATATAAGAAATTTTTAATTGAATTTCATCTGTTAATAAAGTAATTATCTACTTTCAAACTAACTCTATTTTTTCATATTTATCTCTATTAAACACTCTATAATAAATATAAAATTATTTATTAATAGGGACACTTAAAAAAAAAAATGATTATCTATTAAAAAATTAAAAATGTTTTATATTTTTTAACCAAAAAGCTCCATCTACGTAAACAATAACCCAACCTTCTTGTAGAAAAGAAAGATTTCTCTCATTCTTCATGACTTCATGGAGATTAACTCATTTCAAACTCAACCATGCTTTATTATATCCCCCTCGTCTCTCCAAATTTATAGGATTACCATAACATTTACTCGTCGTTCTTCGGACCAAGTTCCCGGTACCCAGCCCCTCACGTTTCGGCCAAGAAGCATCGTCTTGCGTCACGTTAGGGGCGCAGTCATGTGCATCGCTTACTCTTATTAGAGTTTCAAATTTAGAGCCTACCATCTTACTTTGTCCTTCTCTGCTCAAATCATCGCTTAAGTTTGGCCCAGCATTCACCTCCTTATTTTTGCTCTATGATTAGAATGTCCATGCATATTGCACTTCTTGGGACATACATCCCTATGATGCCCATATTTCCCTTAATTAAATGATATGTAATCCCTCATGCTCAATAAAACATTTTCCCCCCCAAAGATCTTGACTGACGATTTCAATCTCTTATAAAGATCAAGTTCAATGCATATACAGGCAAATATATGCCACATTCACTGTTGTGAGTTATCATGTCAATTTTCAGTGTTCTTCCAATCCCAACATGCACCAATCCTTTTCAAAGCTGACAAAGTTAAAATTTTTACAAGGTTAAAATATTTTAAAAGCTTCTGGAATAATTCAGGACATTCAAAAAGGTATCGGAGTCTTCTGAAATACACTGGTATGACCTCAAAAAACTTAGATAACTCTAGAATAGTGTAGAGAGCACTTGAAATCTAGATTATTCTAAGGATATTCTACTCTTGTACATTCTAGAATTCTCCTTGTAAATATCACGATATTCCTTGTAGATATTTCTATAAAAATATCTAGAGATAAAATGTACACCGTTGAATCGAATCAATTCTAGTCGTCCATTAAAGAGGTGGAAACTTTCTGAAAGAAGGGAAAGCCTATAAATACCCCCTCATCCCTCATTTGTAATCACTCAAGAAAAGCAATAAAGATCTCAAGTTCATTCCCTCAAACTCTCTACTCTCTACTTGTACATCTAGTTCTCTTAAGTTTCGTTGCTTACTTTATGAGTTTGGCTGACTTAGTTAAAATCAAGAGGTTGATCAAAACTAAGGTTGGTATAGTTCAAGAAAAGGAAAGTTCAAAGACCGTGACAAGCTACGTTAAAAAGTTCCAACGGTAGTGATGGGATTCTAACCCATGCCGCAATCTTCCTCAAACACCAACATTCCAAGGGTCAAAATTCAGTCTCTATGGTTGAACTATCAAATAATAATAAGCAATATCATCCACGGACTTTCTTGGTAAACATAATTCATATAATCTCCAGACTCAAAAGATACTATAAAAGATGTCTTCCATATATTTCTAAGACTTCTTCAGTGGAATGTTCTTACCCAGAAGTTTAATAATAAGAGCTTTCCTCGATCGCTCACACCATAACTCATATTCCACTTGAGATATCCCCACCGTTACACAATCATCATCATCAGACTCTTCATTCTGCTTCTGCCCTGAATCTTTATCACAGGTATTTTAGACCCTTCAATATAATCCTTCCATGCCATCGAAACAACAACTATCTTTGCTATCCTTTGATCCAATCTCTCTTTCCAAATCTAAAAGTTTGTCTTTAAAAGAGAGATCAATAACCAAGCCACTAGAAACAGCCTCTTCGACAATACACCGTCTTCACCAACCTTGCCTTTCTTCTTCCGTCGAGCAACACCATCGACCCTCCAAAACCTCCACTACTGTTAGACGACATAGCAGCTTCCTGAAGGAAACTCTCGCTTTCTCCATGCAACGTCGCTCGCGACATAAAAATAGTCCACTTTTAATTCTTCTTAATTAATTCTTATTGTTAAGTTCAATCAATTAAATCTTTTTTTTAAAAAAGTATTTGTAAATCCTTGCAGTTTCACTCAATTTTAAATTAGGTCCCTGCAATTTATTTTATTTTAATCAAGCTCTTATAGATTCATCTATTACATACATACATACATACATATATATATATATATATTAACCTCCTGAAAGTTAAAATTAATAATTAATTATATAAAATAAAAATACTCATAGAGTTTGTAGAAAATTTAATTTAATACTTATAGCCAAAATTGGAAAAAAGAAAATTGGATTTGATCCATTGTTTATCTTTTTATTATAATTTTTTATGAAAATTTTACATGTACAAAAATATTTAGAAGACAGCATAATTATATAAATTTTGAGTTATAAAAATTATGTAATTAATTCTAAACTCAGATAATCATTTGATAAAAATATAAAAGTTCTCAATTTTGTTTTTTTAAAAGGAAAAATGTAAATATTTTTTACTTTCAGGAATTAAAAGCTTTTATTTGGATACATAGAAACGGTTATGTGATATCCTATTATAGGTTTTGGTTTTTCACTTTTATTTGGATACATAGAAACGGTCATGTGATATTCATTTTCTGTTCACTCATAATTTTATTTTTGTACTATCATTGGCAAGCAATTTGTTTAGTTATGAGGAAAAGCTTAATGCTTCTCAAATTCGTTAACATATTGATTTATTTTTAAATACATTAAATTACTAATATTTTTTTTTATAAAAATATCAATTAATTAAAAAGAAAAAAATCACAACACATAAGGTTTAACAAGTGTTAAGGGGTAGGGGGACTGAAGGTTAAAGAAGAGAAATGACTGGCTATTTGATGAACATCTTGTACCAATTTCTGCTGAGAGTGATGTTTTGAATGAAGGCAATGGAAGAGTTTTTTCCTGAAACAGAGAACAAAAACTCCTGATATATGAAGAGAATTGGCAAACGAAAAATCATTGACCCATTGTAAAGCAATTCTAAGACAAAGCAAGTTGAAACAATTTGGATCAGTGGTTGAGGATCTTTTCCAAATAAAAATGTGGATGTGAACAGAGTTCAGTGTTTAAGAGACAAAGACAGAACCTAGTCGACCTCTGTTTAAATTTCCTCAAACATATATGCCATTGAAATGAAATAGAAAAAGTTGGTGGTATATTTAATGCAAAAGATAATGACAATGACCATGAAATTGTTTAATAACCTAATCTAGAGACTGAATCTTACCATGATGAAAAGCAATGTTCTTTTTTTTGCCAAATTAGATTAAGTAAAATGATGACACTTCTCAGAATAGAATCTAAGCCATCATAATATAAATGTGAAAAAGTAGATGTGATCCACCTAGAAATCCCAATCTCCTAAATTTTTGAGGATTGAATTGACAAAGCACCAAACTAAAGTGATTTGACATAAGAACATCTACAGAAAAGACGATTCAATGATTTTGAATATGAGCAACCAAAAACACAATTGGAATGTGTATTAAGATGGTGATGTCGAAGAACAACTCCAAGAAGTAGAGCAGAATGAACCAACTTTCATATGAAAAGAAGTTGCTTATATGGTAAATTAATCTTCCATAAAAAAGTCCAGAAAGAATCATTAGCACGTAATCTCCTATCTTTGATGATATGAATGAATTCCAAGACCTCCTTCTTTCAAAGGGGAGAAAAAATATCTTTTTTCGTGAGATGCATTTTTTTCTCCCTTGATCAACACCCCAAAAGAAATCAACTAATTTTGAATCAATCAAGTTACAAACCTTTAGCAATTTAACATAGGACATGAGGTAAATATTGGTTGTTGCAGTTAAAACATATTTAATTAAGGTCAATCTAAAATCTTGAGATAATAATTTGACTTTCTAAGAGGAGATCCGCTTGTCAAGAGTCTAGAATTGGCTTATAAAGATAGACTTGTCAAGTCCAGCATCTATTAAAGAACTAAGATACTTATCCAATTTATTTGATATAGGAATGCCAAAATTCTAAGATATAAAGTTCTTCAAATCAGGAGAGACATTAGGACTTATGACTATAATAGAGTGCGTTTTATTAATCTTAAATCCAACCATCTACTGAAAGGGTGCAAAATATCCAAGACAATGTTCAAACTTGAATATTTACATTCAGAAAATCAATATTGAATCATCTGCACAAAGGTGAGTAACAGGATAAGAGTCAGCAGAAATTTTGATACCTCCAAGTACACCGGCCTCTTGCTTATGAAGAATCAAGGATATAATATTCATATTATAATATAATATAATTAATTTATTAATAATATTATATGCAATTTTATAAAAAAACAATATCCTTGTAATTTTTTACATTCAATTTTTTTAAAAAAATTAACTCAAATTGTTATTGTAAATAAAAAGATCACACATATATTAATTAAACCATTCAAACACTTCGATTTTATCAAAATTAATTTCACAAACTAATATCCAAACACAATCTTATTCAAACCCCACTTCGTCCACTGTTCCCCTGCGAGAAAGCCTTGACGCAGCAGATGACATCGAAAGAGACGGAGGGAGGCGAATGGGCGGCGAGGCTTCAACGGTGATCTGACGGCGTTGAACGTCACAGACGAGGGGGCCGGCTATTAGAATTTGGTTTCGTTGACTGCCTGTTAGTCAAGAAGCGACAGACGTTGAGCTTGTTAAAAGAAAACATCTTTCGAAAAGACCAAACGACCCCAGGTTATGGTATGCATGGTTCTTCTAGAAATTAGATTGCTCTAGTAAACCCTAGCCTGTTAGCTATTATATGAATGAGTTCTTGCTGGTCGGATTGGGAATTTCAACTAGTGAGCATGGGAGAAATATTAACTGAATCATTGTGCATTCTGATTCATATTCGTTATTTTAGATTTTTCTCTCTTGAAAAAAATCTGATTTTCCTAGGAGGTTATATTCATTTGGTTTGCCATTACACCCTTCCCTTCACGCTGTCACTGCCATGTGGAGGAATCAGGGACGAGTTATTAGAATTTCATAAACAATAGGGATTTAATGGACACATGGAGATAATTGTAGGTAATAATTTATGTTTTGAAGTATAAGAACTTGTTTGAAAAAAAAAAAAGGTGTGAACTAGAGGGGCCGCCAATTAATTAAATTTTTCAATAAACTATCATTAGTATATCTTAACCAAAGCTTTAATAACCATCGTCATGACAGTGTTATAACCATGATTAACATAGTTGTCATTAGGATACTGTGGCTGAGTTTGTTTTCTTAATTTGGGCATGTAAAGTTGATGTTAAAGGAAGTGCATGCTGTAATAATTTCTGAATGACTATGAGGATACGGAATGGAAAATGAACCTTCCATAAAGAATGCCAAGCCACAAGTTGAAGATTAAGGAAGGGAACTAGTTGATGCATGAGCTTGTTAGGTAGCTAGGATCACATTCTAACTTATTAAAGTTTAGTTAAGGTCCTGTTAAAGGTCAAGCATTATAAGACTAGATTTAGTTGAGACAGAGTGCTATTGATCTGAGCATGGACTCTACATGAAAGAAATGAAATACAATCATACTTTTCTCTCATCTACCTTCCTGCTCTGCATGCTTTTGTAATTTCATGGTATCAAAGCAAACTGACTTTCTTGTTTTTTTTTTCTTGCTGCACTTTCTTGAGGTTTGTCGATAGTACAATCTCTCCTCCTAGGAACATGGACCTTAATTTCCTAAAAAGGGGAGAAAAGAATGCTGTGGGGTGTCTTCACTTTTAGCTGGGTGTAGAGTCTATTTGGAAAAATAATATGTTTTCTTCTGTGGAATCTTGGTCTGATTCAGAAGGAGTGGCGTGGTTAGCAGATTGTCTGTCATGTGGAAATTCAAGAGCACATTCAGTGATCTTTATGTTATTTTGTGTCTTTCTCAATGCTTCTAGCTCTGCTGAAACCTCTCTCATTGTGGGTCTCTTCTTCCCATTCAGTCTCAAGCATCTCTTTGCAAGATTTGCAATCCCAAGAAGATCATCTTTCCTTCCTTCATGAACAACTTTAGCATCTAAAATCTCAAAAACCTTATCCTTCTTTGTCAGAGACATAAATTCTGCAACTAGGTTTTGACCCTGATTTTCTTCTGAGAAGGTAATGGGTTTCCTTCCAGTGATGAGCTCTACAAGTACAACCCCAAAACTGTATACATCGCTTTTTTCTGTAAATTGACTAGATTGGAAGTATTCAGGATCAATGTACCCAAAAGTGCCTTGTACCACTGTGGTTAAGTGAGTCCTATCATCTGGGACTGATCTTGAAGTCCCAAAATCAGACACTTTGGCACTATACTTATGATCCAGGAGTATGTTTGAAGTTTTGACGTCTCTATGGAAGATGGGAATGGAAGCTGCAGAATGCATATAGGCCAGTGCTCCTGCAACCTCACAAGCAATTCTGAGACGGTTGTCCCATGAAAGCTTTGCTTCGAGTTCCTGGTTATGGATGTGATGAGAAAGGGTTCCATTGGGAATAAATTCATATACCAGTAATGGGGCTTCAGTCTCTAGACACCAACCTAGGAGTTGGACAATGTTCCTATGGTTTATTTGGGACAGAATCACCACTTCGTTAATCAAAGTCTCAATCTGGTTTCTCACAATTTCTTTTGCCTTCTTGACTGCGACAATGCTACCATCTTGTAACATTCCTTTATAAACGGTTCCAAATCCACCTTGACCAAGAAACCTACTTTGATTGTAGTTATCTGTTGCTCGTTCCAGCTCATCCACTGTAAAAAGTTTTGCTTTCTCTCGGTTTCCATAACATGATATCTTTTCTTGTAGCAAGAGGCCACCATTTTGCTTGAACAACTTTTCCCGACGGATTCTTTCTTTCTTTTGTTTTAGGCATTGATGTAACTTGTGACTCAAAAGAAATAAGCACAAAAGTCCGGCACCAATACCAGCACCTGCAAGTGAATGATTAAAGTGCAAAGGAGTGATTTTATATTTGCAGACAAGATAAGATACTTTGAAAGTATGGGGTTGTACATCTAGTGATCATCCCAATTACAGTACATGGCAAAGTATCTTCAACCATCCTTGAAAAATGTCACACCATTTTATACAATCTATGATTTGGTCTGCTACTTAAACAAAGAGGAGAGAAGGTTGTGTTGGAGACAATAATCATTGTGGACATCTAAGTTATGTACATGGCACAAGGGGACGGTGAGAGTTGGATTGAAACAAAAGCCGACAGATTCCTTTTAATTTAGGTTTGGGTTATTAAAATTTGAATTCAACTCCAATTAGAGTTTAAACATTTAGTTGTTTGTCTAAAATTTAAACCTCGAGGAGAGTCTGACTGGCACATGTTTCTAGACACAATTTTGCTACCTAAAAGCCTAGTGAGCTAGCGAGGATTTAGAAGAGATTACCTAAAGAAGCAACCAATTTGATGGGGAAACGACGAGCATCTTTTTGAAGATGATCACAATCGAGAGTGTTGAAACTTGAACTCGGAAGGTATTTCTGAGAGAATGAGCAGGTGCAGTAGAATAAATGCGGATTAAGTTTACAGGAAGAAGGTTTGATGGGAACTAAAAAAGTTGTGAAGGGATAGATGAGATCATTTAGATGCAACTTATTAGCGGTTAGCAGAGTCTGTTGATCTGCACCATAGGCCTTTGCGATTGACTCAATTGAATCCCCAAATACAACTGTGTGAAGTAGCAGGAAGGAGACCCCATCTGAGATCTGGTTAGCAGTGGGACAAGCACATGAGATTGGAACTGAAACCTGTTTGCCTGCAGTGGGATCGATGACATAATTTTGTCGAAGCAACATCTGGCAAATGGCAAGGCCTTGATAAGTGTTGTTGGCCACAGTAAAGTAGGTGTCAACTGCCTTCAAGGTATAAGAAGTGGGATGCTGGTAGATTCCACCCAAACAGGAACAATCGATGGGAACAATAACAAGTTGATCGATGGGAATGTTGTTGTTATTGCTGGAGATGTTGTTGATGGAGGCTATGGAAGCTGCTTGGGAGCTAAGATGATTGGCAATGTTAAGAGGGGTATCATAAAGAGGATTGGATCTGAAAGTTACGAAGGAGATGCATGACTTTTGGAGGCCATTGCAGTCATACGCTACTTTGTTTGTGGAATTGAAAGAGCAGTCAACGATATCTTTGAGGTCCTGTTGGCTGCAGCAATGGAGGGATTGAGAAAGCACAGACAGGAGCAGAACGTAGAATGAAAGAATCTTCATGTCTTTAAAGTTAGACGAGAGAGAGTTTTATTGATATTGCTCTGCAATTTGTATGTGTGGGTGTCTATGTGTGTGTGTGTATATATATATATATATGAGTGTAGCTTATGTTTCAAATTCAATGGGAGAAGAAGAGGATTTGAGATAGCAATGTTGACCATTTATTTTGACTTAAAGGTTTACTGTGACTTTTTTTTTTTTTTTAAGAATCATCCGTCCTACTTCCATTTTTTGTATTTTTTTTTCACATTAAACTTTTTAATTTCTAGTTTTATTCATGACATGACTGTGGGGTAAAATTTTATTGAATGTATGATGTGCCCATGCCCCTTGCTTTTTCCTGTAAGGAAAGCGCGCCGTCTGCTTTTGTTGGCGTTAATGAGGTCGCTAGTTGGATCTCACATGGATCTGTGTGTTACCGACTTACCGGTTATATTCTCCGCGATCTTTAATATAAAACAACCTTTTGAAAGTTTTTTTTTCTAATATAAAATAAAATTAAAATAATTATTTTTTTTAATTTTATCCCTTATTTATTTATTATTGTTTAAATTTCAGTACACTAATTTATGAAAAAATTAGCTCAATGACATTAAAAAATACAGCTCTCATAAATTATGAATAATGAGATTTTTAAATATTTTAAAATATGGCCTATTTATAAAATTAATGAAATATATTTTACTTTTTTAATCCTCAAATTAATTGTATTATTAAAACACAATATATCTATTATAATTAATCGTTAACTAGCTGATTTTTTTTCTGAATCATTCCTTTTTTTAATATAAAATTGTCGGTGTTTTTTTTTCATCGCAAAATTTTTCTTCTCTTTCCTTTTATGTTTTTCTCAAGAACACTATAAAGAGGATATTAGACATTGAAAAGAAATTTTTATTTCTGGAAGTAGAAGACTATGTTGGAATTTATTATCTGTCATCAAATTTTCACTATCTTCACATCTTTTGATAACATCGAATTTTTTGCGGATTGTGCTTAATTCATTTTAAGCAAATGATTATGTATTTTTTGTTACTGATCTGCGATACTATATCATTGATATATATTAATAATAAATAAATTTATGTCTGATTGTCTAATTATGCTGATCTGCAATAGTATATTAGTGATATATAACAGTATATCAATGATGTAGTATCGTAAATCAGTAACATGAAAAATACATAATCATTTATCCCAAACAAATCAAATACAATCCACAAATATATTTAGACTTTTAGTTTATTAGAGAGAGTCAAATACTTAAACTAATAAACTAAAAAATTATGAATATGTAGCTCCATATCCCCCTCAACGTGCTCCGTTTCATTGATGTATTTCACCTCACATTTGTCTCTTATCGTCGTGATTGTGGCTCTCTCACACTACTGTGTTGTCTCACGTTTGTCTCTCTCATGTTTAATTCCGTCTTCTCTCTTGCAATCATCTCTATCGTTATAGAAATTTCTTATATTTTAAATCTTCTAATATTTGCAAAAAGCAGATATTTAAAGGGCACTTTTATAAATTAATTATAAATTAAATATTAAAAAGATTATTTTTTTTAAATTTAAGAAAGAATAGGTTATTTCTTTTATTTAGTCTCATAAAATGAACTATATGTGTAAATGCCCCATAATTTATTACTATTAATTGTGAAGAAAAATAAAATTAAAAAATTACATATTTATTATCCCTTATTTATTTATTATTGTTTAAATTTTTGCATAATAATTTATGAGAAAATTAGCTCGATGACTTCAAAAAATACAGCTTAAATAAATTATGGATGAGATTTTTAAATATTTTAAAATATAGTTCATTCATTAAATTAATTAAATATATTTTATTTTTTTATCCTCAAATTAAATTTATTATTAAAACATAATATATTTATTGTAACTAATCGTTAACTTATTGAATTTTTTTTTTTTTTTCTCTGAATCATTTTTTTCTCTAAATATAAAATTGTCGATGCCTTTTTTCATTGCAGAGTTTTCTTTTCTCTTCCTCTCTGCTTTTTTCAGGAATACTATGAAGAGGACATTAGACATTAAAGAGGAATCTTCATTTTTGGAAGCAGAAGACTATGTGGGAATTTATTATCTGTCATCAGATTTTCACCATCTTCACATCTTTTGATAGCATCAAAATTTTTGTAAACTATGCTTGATTCATTTTGAACAAATGATTATATATTTTTCGTGTTACTAATTTGTGATATTATATCATTGATATACATACGTATATCAATAATAAATAAGTTTATCTCTAATTATCTAATTATGTTGATCTATGATAGTATATCAGTCAGTGATATACAACCGTATATCAATGATATAGTATTGTGAATCAATAATATGAAAAACACATAATCATTCGCCTCAAACGAATCAATACAATCTACAAATATATTTGAACTCTTAGTTTATCACAGAGAGTCAAATACTTAAACTAATAAAATAAAAAATTATGAATATGTAGCTCCATGTCCCTGTTGATGTGCTCCATTTCATTGATGTATCTCACCTCACGTTTGTCTCTCACAGTTACAACTGTAGCTCTTTCACATTACTCTGTTGTCTCGCATTTGTCTCTCTCGCGTCTAATTTTGTCTTCTTTCTCGTATTCATCTCTCTCGTTTCAAAAATTTCTTGCATTTTAAATCTTTTAATATTTGCAAAAAGAAGATATTAAAAGGGTACTTTTATAAATTAATTATAAACTAAATATTAAAAAGGCTATTTTTTAAATTTAAGAAAGAATAAACTATTTCTTTTACCTAGTCCTATGAAATGGGCTATATGTGTAAATGTCCCATAATTTATTACTATTAATTGTAAAAAAAATTTAAAAATTACATATTTTTTAATAATTTTAAAAATATAACTATCATTTCTTAATAAATATTAAATCTCATTTGCGGGTTAAATGACGTTTTTTTTTACTGACCAAGGAAAAATATATAACACACACACACACACACACATCGTTGATGTTGAAAGAGAAGTAAAAACACACATCAGATGACATTAGCCTATACTGCTCGAGAGAGACAAATCCGATTAATGTTTTACATTTAAAATTAAAATAAATCCTCAAATATGATACAAGGGAGAATATTGGTAGAAGGATCTGGAAGAAATTTCATTTCTTAAAAAAATTTAAATAAGTAAACATTAATAAATTAATGAGTGAAATTGTTTTAACAAATATATGATATCTTCAGAATTTTGGTAAGATATTAAATTATTTCAAGAGTTTTTATTTTATTGATATTCTTCGTTTGTAGAAAGTATAAGGATAAAGAACTTGGTTTTTCCATGTAAATTAACCATTCTTCCTACTAAAAATTAAAATATGATTTGCCCATATCATTAGTACTCTTGTTACCATCATATAGCATTAATTTTTTTTGCCATTATTGATTCCTGATCCTTATAAAAATATTTTCACATTCTAATATTTTTAATTTAGAAAATCATGAGCCATTAGTGTTTCCTGTTCCACCAAGCCTAGATCTTTAGGGACGCGGATTAGACTTGACTGAATTAAGAAAATTACATTAGACTGGTATTAAACTTGACTGATTTGATATTGAGAAGGATTGGATTAGTTGGTCAAAACAAAAAAAAAAAAAAAACAGAGAGAGAGAGAGAGAAGGATTGGATTAAATAAAGTTTTGGAAAAATGAAAAAATTGCCAATAAGTCTCTCCTTAGGGTCAAAATTGTACTGGAAGACGAGTAGGTTTTGGATAGACTTAAGATGTAAGCAGATAGGCTTGGGATTTCATGACTATTTGCTTGCACCATAAGCTTATTTGCTGGTACCTTAATTCTTTGGTCTTTCAACATAGTTTCAGTCTCAAGGAGAGACTTATTAACGATTTTTTCAAAATTAATCCACATGTCATTATAATATTTCTCAATTTTGTATTAAGTTTCTATTATTTATTTTTTAATAAAATCTCTATAGTTTAATCTAATAGATAAGTTAATTATGTATATTTAAATTATTAATGAATGATTAAATTTCTCAAAACATGACCAATTTTAAAATTTATAGAAAATTTGACTTGATATTTTTAGCAAAAAAATTATTTAATACATTGTTTTATATTTTCATTAAATTTTTTATGAAAATTTTATGTGTAGAAAAATTACTAAGAAGACATAATCTAATTATATAATTTTTTGAGTTATAACAATTGTGTTATTAATTCTAAAGATATATAATCTTTTAATAAAAATATAAAAGTTCTTAATTTTATTTTTTCTAATGAAAAATTTTCGGATTTTAATCTTTATGGATTAACAAATCTAATAGATTAAACTATAAAATTTAAATTAAAAAAATTAAATTACATGGACCTAATCCAAAATTTAAAAAAACTATAAAACCTGCAAATTATTTTTTTTAAAAAAAGTTCTGTATGCTCTTCATTTTAATACCTTTATGTATGCTTAATTTCTATCCATACTTTCAAATTTAAAAATCAAATTTTAAATTATAATTTTTATATTACTCATTTTAAAATATGTATTCTTCTAATCCTATTTATAAGTCATTTTTATCATATTTCAACAGAATCAAGAAAAATCTTAAAATTCATCAATATTGTTTAAAAATTTAATAAGTTTTTAACTTTATCCCTTTTAAGTATATATATTTTAATAACTTATTTTTTCATCAACATTTAATAAAAGTTAAAAGGACAATTGCAATTAAAGAATTTTTTAACAATTCTGTAGACCATTGGCAATTAAAGAAAAAAAATGATTTATTGATTCATCATCGATATTTCAAAACACACAAAGTGAGAAATTTATTACTTGGCAATTAAAGGATAATAACCTATCCTTTGCAAACAATCTCTGGTTTCTGCAACCAGCAACACAAATAAAACAATGTATAGGAAGATTATATTTTCCACAAACAAATGGGACTTTCTACCTAATTTCTATCATGGAAACCATTTAAAAATTTACTTCTAAAAAATATAAGTTTCCTCGAATGCCAACTCACATCATTTGG